ATATTTGTCAATGAAATTACTAATGTTTCCAAGAAAATTAAATTTCGGCATTAAATGACCCATAAAGTGTTGATATACCGTTAAAAAAAAAAAAAAAAAAAACAGAAACCATTCCCGAGGAAGGTTCTTGAATATAAATGCCAGTGCTTACGGGGACTGAACATTTTCTTTTCTTTTTTTTTTTTTTTTTTTTTTTTTACCCTTTAAAATACCCTTTTAGCCTATATGTACACGTATGGGTGCCTCACAGTATAAACGCCCTTGTCTCACATCCTGCAACCGTCGTGGAGGTAGATAAACTTGAAAAGTATACTTTCTGTGCAGTTTTTAAACGTGTTACACACAAATAATTAACCGTCCCTTTTGCTGACAGTCAATTCATAGGCTTATTTGATGCACGCTTGGGCGATCATATCTTTTTGCAACCCATGACTGACTAGGCAGATTTTCCTGCAATAGGTTGCCATTTCTTTCTGCGGTAGTCTGGTTGCCAACGAAAGCTATAGAACTCAGTCTGTCCTGTTATTTAACTCATAGATGGAGGGAGAAGGGATGGATTCATTCCTTTCCCAAGTGACTGTAACGAATGGAATTCGAACTCGGTTCTCCGAGCTCTCATTCCGAGATGATATCCATTACATCAAAACGCGACATTGTTTTTTTTTTTTACAGAAATAGTCGTAACAGTAGTTATAATAAAAACTGTGTTTGAAGAACAGAAGTACCATTGACTACGCCAATGTGAGAGACGAACCTCATAAGAAATAACAAGGATAATGTTGGTAACCTAATACAAATATTTCTTTTTCGATATGATATCTGATTAAACAAAAGTGTCGAGATTGTTGCTAAAGCACGCAGAGTGAATCCGCTTGACTTTGAACTCAGTCGCGCATACACACTAAGTTATAACGACCTCGCTCACTTCCGTTGTTTATCGACGTGCTTGGAAGGAAAGTGTGTAGAATGTGGTCGTCTCTCCACGCCACACAGGTTCCATCAGTGACCATGGCTTGTGCGGCACTTTTTGTTAAAGTACAACATTCCCCATGTCCGACGACCACCATATTCCCCAGACTTGCAATTTTTTCCAATTCAAAAATCATATTCCACTTGAACAAGATTTCAAGACGTCAAGGAAACAGAAGAGAATGCGACGGCTTGCTCGCTCTCCGAATAAAAGGAATCCCAGGAAAGCTTCCATCAGTGGAAACGACGCTGGATAAAGTATGTGACTTCAGAAGGAGACTACTTTGAGGGAGATCAAATACCGAATTAGCATGGTGATTTTCTAAGCGTAGCTTAGATGTGGCACAAGGTCAAAAGTATAGGTCACCCAGTGAGGATCGAACTTACTATTCACTTGTAACGGACCTAGTGAGACAAGCTTGCTAACCATTACACCACGTCGAAGTGCCCGCAAAATGATTTTCTAAACATAGCTTAGATGTGGCACAAGGCAGAAAGTATGGAGCATCCAGTGAGGATCGAACTCGCTACTCAGTTGATACTGATCTAGTAAGACAAGCTTGATAACTATTGCACCACGTCGAGGTACTCAAATGCCGAATTGATTTGTGTTGTAGTTTTCTTTTTATAGTACCAGTTACTTTTTTATCAGACCTCGTAAACATTAAGGCTGGAGGATTTATCGGCCAAAATATAATGAAACAATAAAGATAAGAAAACTCATGTACTCTTTTTTTTCAACAGGCATAAAAAATAAAAATAAATTCAATTTTAGTTTTCATTGAAAGATCAAATGTTTTTCTAGCGATATATTTATGTGTATTTAAATTCGATATGTTTTAGTTGGTTGGTTGATTTTGTTTAGCAGCTTGGTTTGGTTTGTTTTACGGCATATCAACACCTCAATGGGTTATTTAATGCCGACAAGATTTTTATTGCTGGTAATGTTTGTTTCTTCGAAAATTTATTGCTAGTAATTATTTTTTTTTTACAAAAATGTGTTGCTGGTATTAAAGTTTATTTTTACACATTTTGACCCCATTTTGAAGGTTAACCCTTTGCCCATAGCTGGGGCCCTAACATGTGCTACCACCTCGGGTCAGGGTAAACCTGGGAACACCAGCAATTAAGAGGTGGTTCCACGCTCCTCAAATCCTCAAGGGCCTTGCTGTTGGACGTAGTTTATCGTCATACACAGGACGCTGTTTAGCAGCATAGCAACCTCTATGGGTTATTTAATGCCAAAATCGAAATATTTTAAATGCAGTTGCATTCCTTCAACTACGGATAAAATGTACTGTTGGTCATTATACTATAAGTACGTAGCGTTGGTCATTATACTATAAGTACGTAGCGTTGGTCATTATACTATAAGTACGTAGCGTTGGTCATTATACTATAAGTACGTAGCGTTGGTCATTATACTATAAGTACGTAGCGTTGGTCATTATACTATAAGTACGTAGCGTTGGTCATTATACTATAAGTACGTAGCGTTGGTCATTATACTATAAGTACGTAGCGTTGGTCATGTTACTATAAATACGTAGTGTTGATATTTTTTATAAAAATGTAAATTTGTACTTTCATAGTTTTTTTTGGGGGGGAGGGGTCACTATTTACCCATAACTGGGACACTAAAAGCTCCCACCACCCCGAGTCAGGGTGAACCTGGGAAATTCAGAGGTAGTTCCGCGCTCCAGAAAACCTCAAATCCCCCGATCAGAGACCTTGCTGCCCGATGTAGTTTATCGTCATACCCTGGACTAGGTATATTTGGGCAACAATTGTTTTTATTTTTTAAATATTGTTAAAAACTATAGACATTTTGTGTCTATTATATTTAATGATTTTTTCTTAATGTACGAATATTCTTTCGCAAATGTGGTTTCTGTGCGTGAATAAATTGGCCAAAATTCATGTGTAAATATGAGATGAGAGCTTGGGGCAGCACAACATACATTGTGGCTAATTTATAAACACACAATGAACCCATTTCATTCAGTTATGTGCCATGCGTAATACACGCTTAGACGATCATGTATCTTTCGATACATGACTGATGAGGCAGATTTTTTCTCGCAGTAGGTTGCTAATTGCCAGTGGTAGACCAGTTGCCCTCCAAGACTATAGAACCCGGTCTGTCTTGCTATTTACCCATAGCTGGGGGTGAGAAGAGGATGCATACCTTTCCCAAGGGTATTAGCACGTAAGTAAATGTAATGGATCTGACTAGAATTCGAACTCAGCTCTTCGATTTCTCAATCCGAGCCGCTATCCATTAGGATATTTGTACATTACAATAAATATAATACATATATTGTTCATATATTTAGGCAACATATCTTAATTCAGACATGTTTGGTTGAATAATCTAGTCATATTATATCTATATTTTAATTTTCTCACATTCACAGATCAATTTCTTAGTGCTGTTACAAAACTGAGTAAGAAAGACGCCGTAGTTTTGGTTACTTCTTTTATTTTTTACAAGTACTTTCAATCTCATCCAATATCATCTTCGGAGGTGAATTGCGAATACAAAAATTAATGTAATTGATAATTGTGACTTTTTTTTTTTGTAAATGCGCACGTGTGCACACACACACATATATATATATATATATATATATATATATATATATATATATATATATATATATATATATATATGTGTGTGTGTGTGAAGAAATATAGTTTATAGTTTTAAGGTATGCTATATTTATGAGATAAAGTGCTCAATATCGGAGATAGAGCGTATGTAAATATAAAAGTGAGCACTGAAGTCAACACTCAGAGGCGACAGGCTGTTTCATGCTGGACGCAATCGTCAGGCCGAACAGCCTGTCGCATCTGAGTGTTGACTTACTGTTATATATATATATATATATATATATGATATCTCATAAATCGGGTTGACATAATTATTTCAAAATGCTAGCTTTTCTTTTATAAAAGGAAAAATGGAATTGTCCCATTTCTTGTTTTCTGAGTCAGTTGATAGTTTTTGGGGATTTTTTGTTTTTTGTAATAATCAGGAAAGGATAATGAATTAAAATGTATTAAGAAATGCCATTTTTTTTTTTTTATAAAAAAAAAGGAAAAAATATTGTTTCATTTTTCTCAATTTACAGGATTTTTTTTCTGGAGGGGGGTGGACTGGAAAAAGGCTCTTTTTATGATTTTAAGTAGGGGGTGAGGGTGGGAACATTGAGTAAAAACGCAATGGCATTCTCTTTCACCCTTTCAATTCTTAAATTGAATGAATGATTTTCAGTAAATGAAAATTAAAAAAAGAAAATAATAATTTACGTTTGGGGTAGGGACAGGGAAAGGAGGGGATTAGAAAGGTGCGGAATTTTAACGTAGATGAAAGGGGTTTTTTTTTTATCATTATCGTGGAAAGATAATTTTCCGTCATCATTATTGACATTATAATCCACTAACGAGAACGCTATAGTGTAAATGTCGGTTGAAAAATATCTCTCTCTTTTTCTTTCTTTCTCTCTTTTTCTTTCTTTCTTTCTCTCTTTTTCTTTCTTTCTCTCTTTTTCTTTCTCTCTCTCTTTTTCTTTCTCTCTCTCTTTTTCTCTCTCTCTTTTTCTTTCTCTCTTTCTCTCTTTCTCTCTTTCTCTTTCTCTCTTTCTCTTTCTCTCTTTCTCTTTCTTTCTTTCTCTTTCTTTCTCTTTCTCTCTTACTCTTTCTTTCTCTCTCTCACACACATAAACACACATCCAGACCTCCACTTTGTAATTAATTAACTAAGGAATTTCACACAGTCGTTAAGTGGTAGAGGCGGATCTAAAAAGCAATCTGATTTAGAAAATAACTAATTTTCATTAACATATCAATGATCTTTTTTTCACCCTCTTAGGGAAAAAGTATCTTTTTAATGAGACTTTTGATTTGCTTAAGAGACCCATTACAAATACGGCTTTGTCAATAATTTAATGAATTTATTTATGCAGAGCCAATGATTTTAACATTGGGCAAATATGGCCAATGATTTTGACTACAGTAAAGCATTACCAATGGGATTTTTATCTCCTTTTTCTTCTTTAAGTGAAAATTTTGTCGGTGTATTTTTGCAAAAGGACAAGCGCTGCCGCTTTAATTTAACAAATCGGAGAGGCAAACGCTTTCTTTCTTTCGCGGAGAGGCAACGCCGGCGTCTTTCTTTCGCAAATCGGAGAGGCAACGCCGGCGTCTTTTCTTCTTTTCGCAAATCGGAGAGGCAACGCCGGCGTCTTTCTTTCTTTCGCAAATCGGAGAGGCAACGTCGGCGTCTTTCTTTCTTTCGCAAATCGGAGAGGCAACGCCGGCGTCTTTCTTTCTTTCGCAAATCGGAGGCAACGCCGGCGTCTTTCTTTTTTCGCAAATCGGAGAGGCAACGCCGGCGTCTTTCTTTTCTTTCGCAAATCGGAGAGGCAACGCCGGCGTCTTTCTTTCTTTCGCAAATCGGAGAGGCAACGCCGGCGTCTTTCTTTCTTTCTTTTTCTTTCGCAAATCGGAGAGGCAACGCCGGCGTCTTTTTTCTTTCGCACGCAACGCCGGCGTCTTTCTTTCTTTCGCAAATCGGAGAGGCAACGCCGGCGTCTTTCTTTCTTTCGCAAATCGGAGAGGCAACGCCGGCGTCTTTCTTTCTTTCGCAAATCGGAGAGCAAATCGGACGCCGGCGTCTTTCTTTCTTTCGCAAATCGGAGAGGCAACGCCGGCGTCTTTCTTTCTTTCGCAAATCGGAACGCCGGCGTCTTTTTCTTTCTTTCGCAACGCAACGCGTCTTTCTTTCTTTCGCAAATCGGAGAGGCAACGCCGGCGCCGGCGTCAAATCAGAGGCAACGCCGGCGTCTTTCTTTCGCAAATCGGAGAGGCAACGCCGGCGTCTTTCTTTCTTTCGCAAATCGGAGAGGCAACGCCGGCGTCTTTCTTTCTTTCGCAAATCGGAGAGGCAACGCCGGCGTCTTTCTTTCTTTCGCGCAAGATCAACGCCGGCGTCTTTCTTTCTTTCGCAAATCGGAGACGCCGGCGTCTTTTCTTTCTTTCGCAAATCGGAGAGGCAACGCCGGCGTCTTTCTTTCTTTCGCAAATCGGAGAGGCAACGCCGGCGTCTTTCTTTCTTTCGCAAATCGGAGAGGCAACGCCGGCGTCTTACATTGGTTTTAAAAAATCTTTAAATATTCACAGAATCCGAAATTTTGCTTTACAAAACATCCCGATTATTACGAAACAGTCTTAAAATGAAGAGAATTATTTTGTATCTGATAATTTGGACCAAACTTTTCCTTGAGAAAGCAAAGTTTTGTTTTTTGTTTTTTTTATTCATTCATACACCAGCTGTTGGCATTTTTCTCTCATTCACTGAATTTGTAAATAATCCTGACTGCAAGAGTGTTGGAACGGAAAGATTTAGCGTTTCTAAGGCACCAAACCTCGCAAGTAATGCCTGCACTTTCTGGATGGAACCTCAGCCGACTTTAACAAATTTACTATTTACTTAAGATGAGATATCTGATACGGAAAATAAGTTGTGCAGAAAAAATTCACTTATGAGTTTTGTTGGGAGAACGTAAAGAGGAAATAATCCTGACTATATTAGAAAGAATTGTTTGAAAGAAAAAGGGGGAAAAAACACTTGGCGTTTTGCTTCGCAAGAAATGGGAATCCGTTTCGGGTTAAGATTTAAACGAAAGAGATATTTCGGGAAAGCTGCATATGGTTGGATGCACAACGAAAATGATCCTCTTTAGGACACACATCTATTGGATTATGGTTGAGTCCACTTTTTTTTCACTTGTACGCACATCAATGTCAGTCTGCGCTCTTACTGAAACAGACACACACGTACTTATGAGGGAGTACAGTAAAAAGGTTTTCAGCTTACTCACTTCCCAAAATCTGAGCGGGAAAAAAAAACTGTGTGCGTGTGTAAGCGAGTGTTTAGAACATACGTAAGAGGCCAGTGTTCGAATCTCTACATGGTCAAATTATCAGGGAGGTAACAACTGTTTCATGTTATCTCCTGGGAGAGGTGATCCTGGCATATGACACCTTTGGAGAGACTTGTGATTGAAATTGGATAGATGGAAATGATCGAAAGCCATCAATGGTCGTGCTAACACTAAGTCATTGTGACCGAGGCGTTGAGAGTACTGGCCTTGTTCAAACAGATCACGCCAGACAGTATCTAAAGTCCAGTAGGTGAACTCTGTGGATGTTGAACAAACATGAAAAAGTCTGAGCAGTAGTTTTTTTTTTATTTTTCGTTCTTTTTCTTTCTTTCTTTTTTTTTTAGAAAATCACTATTGCACTCGATGTGAAAGCTAGAGTTTATTGGGAAAATTACTGTCACCAAAAAATAAGCTTAATAGTTTTTACCAATTTTTGAGCCTTCAGCATCTTTAAAGATCGTCTGAAAAACCTGTACAGAAAAAAGCCTAATTTTCACAGGTTTTTGCTTACAAACTGTTTTAAAAGTTTTACTCTTTCAAGAATAAATCCAAATAAAGTTCTTTTTTGTGTAAGACACATTGAATTGGAAATATATGAAAGCTAGAATTCTAATTATGAATCACCACAAACAAAATATGCATTTTTTTTACAGTGTATAAAAAATTGTAAAAGATTGCAAAAAATGTTTTCTCAATGAATAACATTTGTTAGATCATTACGTCTTAATTGATGGCACAATGATTTAGTAATAAGGTGTTTGTGCCATGCATATTGTCCATATAAAATTTGTAAAGCTTCAGTAAATTATAAATTTCTAGACAGGACAGGAAACAATGGGTAAGCCTCTACTCCCCAAAAGACCGGAGAGGTGTGTGAAACGGAAGATAGGCCAACCTATCTACTCCAGTTGCTATTATCAATTTTTGGTGCAAAAATTACTACACCTGAGTACATGATCATAATCAACAAATCCGATTATTTTCAGTTAATCACCAGTTCTTGTTACTGAATAGCTTCTTTTTTCTTCTTTTTTTTTTAAATTTTAACTGGACTAAATTTCAAATGCAGTGAATGTTAATGACTTCAGCATGACAATCACCAGTCCTTTGGTCATTGCACCTGATAAAGATTTTTATTGCCTCGTATTACCTTTTGTCTCATGTTGCAGTCAGATGATGATTGCTAACTCTAAGTGGTGAGTTGTGACTGAGAACTCTTTTTCACTTTGTCTTATTAGTGTTTAAATAGGAACGTACATGAGAGAATATAAATCCAAATTGTTTTATATAGCTACTATATATATATATATATATATATATATATAATGAATCATTCATACAAAAAGTAGATTAGTAAAGATAATGATATAAAATGGCGAAATCCTTTAGCAAACAAAATTTTAAAGGTGCATTAACCTATAACAAAAGAAAAAATCTCAAATTGCCATATTAGTAAAAAAAAAAAAAAAACGAACGCACTCTTTTAAATTTTCAAAAAATTCAACCTTAGCTCCAAAAGTTTGTATTGGTTAACAACACATTTCAAAAAAATAAATATTTCGATTCGCATTTAATTTTTTTGTCTCGGATACTACCTGAATTTTACCAAAAACAAAATAATTTCTATACCTGAGGATGACTGAATGTACAGTCGAAAGTACTTGCGAAAGACCTTATACAGTTTATAATTTTTAAAAAACAAGGATCGTAACATTCATCGAGTGATTTGTAGGTTAATGCACCTTTAAATTTTGTTAGCGAAGGGGTTTCGCCATTTTATATCATTAACTTTACTGATCTACTTTTTGTATGAATGATTCGTTGTAATATAAATTGAACTGCACCACATATTTGATTTTATATATACATATATGTATGTGTGTGTATTATGGCAGGTTGATTTTTCAATTTTTAGAAAAATGAACATTGCACTCGATGTGAAAGTTGGGGTTTGATGTGATAAGTAGTAACACCAAAAATTAGATTCATAACTTTTACCAATTTTTGAGCATTAGTTTTAAAGATAATCTGAAAAATGTACAGACAGAAATATCTAATTTCCACAGGTTTTTGTTTAAAAACTGACTTAAAAGTTTTACAATTTCAAGAATAAATCCAAATAAAGGTAAATCTTTTGTATTAGAGACATTGAATGGAAAATATATTCAAACCAGAATTCTAATTATGAATCACCACAAGCAAAATATGTAATTATTTTACTGTATTAAGTAAAAACTGTAAAAAATAAATTAATAAATAACTGTAAAAAAATAAATTAATAAATAAAGGCTACTCAATGAATAATATTTGTCAGCTCATTTGTTAAATCATAATTAATAAAAAATTTTAAAAAAATAGATAAAAGTGTATATAACACCATATGGCACCGAGTACAAATTATAAGACAAAATGTTTTAAATTTGCATTGTTTATAAAAAAAACTCACAGTAAAACTTTTGCACTGAATAACATATTATAGCAGAATATAGCTCAATTGTTGAGTATAATTTCCCCTTGAAGTAAATGAAGGTCTTATTTCATGGCATAATGATTTACTAATAATGTGCTTGTGTCATGCACCTTGTCCATATACAATATAATTTTTTTAGAAATTTTATAATGCTGTGTGCTATACGGCTTTCACTGATCACTGGAATGAAATTCCAACGCTATGATTTTGAACCTAATTCCTAAAAAAAAAAAAAAAAGCCAATGAATTGAAAAAAAAATATTTTGCGTTATTCATCATGTCAAACTCCAACTTTCAAATTGAGTGCAGTACCACGGTTTCAAAATCGACTTGCCATACTGAGTAGGTGTCTACAAGAAAGATTGGTTAGCAAACAGGCGTGTTTGGAAACTAGTAGCCAGATAAGCAAATATTCATCGAAAACTTGCAATTTTCGAATGTTTCATATCGGATCGAAATTGTAAAACTGTATGATGTTCATGTTTCTTCTGTTGTTTTTGTTCAAGTACTTTCGACCGGCTCAGTCATTATCAAGAACCATGTGCTGTCATTGTGGTAGACAAGATTCCGTTGGCTACATCTTGCTATTTTATAAAGAGATGAAAGTGTGAATTAGTCTAAAGTAACATCATGTTTAAAAGTTAATGTTAGGGAAACCGCACAAAAAAAAAAAAAAAAATAAGAGAATGCATATATACTGGTACTTAAATTTCAACCGAAAACAATACTGTCTGATTGGTCAATGAATGCCAAATATTTTCTTGTAGGGAAACCGATAATATTACTATTATAATATCTATATCTACACACACACATCCATAAATACATATACGGAATTGGGGAACAAATAATCATACACATACGAATTTTTAGTATATATATATATATATATATATATATAGTGGTCAATGAAAAGGTTTAGGCGCAGTCGTCTTCCCAAACTCAATATTCGGAAAATTGAGTTTTAGAAATATTGATTTGTAGCTAGTTGATCCAACCGAGACTACCTTCTTTCTTTCTTATATATATATATATATATATATAGAGAGAGAGAGAGAGAGAGATAGATAGATAATATTAGTGGTAAATATACACATACATATATATTTGTATAAAAAAAATATTCCAAGAGGATAGAATCCAGGTAGAACTCAAATGTCCAGGACAGTAAGGATATAATATAAAAACTAATATTCCATAATAATTGTTCCAAAGGGAATCGTAAATACGATCCAATTCATCAGACCTACAAATTGATGAATGGATCGTGATTACGATTCCAATGGAATAAATTATGACCATGGAATATTAGTGTTTAAGCCTTTTTATTATATATATATATATATATATATATATATATATAGAGAGAGAGAGAGAGAGAGATTAAATATGGTTTAAAATCCGATAGAATGATAGAATAAAGAACAAATAGGAAACTTATCAATTTAACTTGTTTCACTTTTATTTAAGCTTCATCAAAAATGCAATATGGAGGAGAAAAGAAAATTCTGGCATTTTTTTTTTTTAATTCTTACGTTTGTTTTTCATTGGTCAAGCATTATTCGTCCTTTCAGGCAGCGTTCATGTGCATAATTTTTTGTGTTTGTGTATCACAATTCTACTTGGTCTGTGCGGGAATTAGTTGAAATATATGATCATAGCACCCATCATCAGGACTTTAAATTATGATGTAAGAACTGTGTATTCTGTGAAATATGTTACACAATTAATTTTTTTCTAGTGTTTGTTTTTTTTTGTTTTTTTTTTTTTGTCGATCCAAAAACTTTTCTGTGCTCCTCCTTATATAAATTTCGAAGACATATTGCTTTTTACATATGTGGTTTTTCAAAAGGATGAATACTGAAGTTGGGCTGGTTAGTTTTTACGACATGTCAACCCTTGTTGGGTATGTTTAAGACATATAAAAGACATATGTGGGTGTATGTATTGAAAGATATATGCTGTGTTATATATACCCACTGGCTTGTAAGCGTTTTAAAGTCTGTGTACGCAACTGAGACTTGTAGAAAGCAGCACTATTACATTCCACTCTGTAGTTTTTCGCACCAAAGGCACAGATTTTGCCTCTCGCAGTTAGGGCGGGTCAAAGAGGCGGTACACTTAAGAGAAGCCCTTTTTACCGACTTAATGATTTTTGCAGATTTATTTGCAATTCGGGAGAAAAACTGTTTGCCAGTATCTTTGCTTCCATCATTCAGGTTTTCTTGATACATGTAATGTACATTAAAAACGAAATGTCTGGATGAAGGGATTTTTTTCTTTTTTTTTTTTTTTTTTTTTTTTGAATAAGAATGAAATTTTCTTGTGGTAATTGTTTGACACGCTACTGTTGTAATATTAGAGCGTATCAAAAGTATTTTCGTATTTTCATCAACTCCCGTCCGTGTTCACAAAAATATGTAAACTTCTAAATGGAGAAGGGATCTTTCGATGTGTTCTACTCTTTTTTTTTTTTTGTAAGAATTCCAACGCTGGAGGGCTTACGGCCATATCACGTTGAACCCCCCCCCCAAAAAAAAAAACCTGTTTTTGCACGATCACCGAAGTTAAGCAACGTGAATCCTGGTCAATACCTAGATGGGTGATCGCTTGGGAATACCAGGTGCTGTAAGCTTGGACATGTGGATGGTATAATGAGCTTAGGTCCATATCATTTTAAAGCACCGATTTCCGTACGATCACCGAAGTTGAGCAACGTCGAGCTTGGTCAGTACCTAGATGGGTGATCGATAGGGAATACCAGGTGCTGTACGCTTGGATGGGCTGGTGGTGTAATGGATAACGGCTCGGAAATGGGAAATCGAAGAGTCGATTTCCAATACCAGTTGAAGTCGTTATATTCACTTACGCGCAAATATCCTTGGGAAAGGTATGAATCCACCTCTTCCCCTCCTTGCTATGGGTTAATTAGTATGACTTGTATCAGTAAATCATTATTATCTCCAAAAAATTCTTAAATCTAAAATTAATTTCTGGTTTTAAATAACCTGCAAAATGTTGATAAGCCGTAAGAAAAAAAAATATCTTCTATTAATTTGTTATATCTTATCCATATAGTGAGGTATTCGTATTAATTCTATATCCTGAATGTTTATTATGGATTCAAGGTCAGTACCATCACTGCTTTCATTCCAATTCCAGATCATAGTTTCTGTTTTGAAAAGATTTATCTTGATTCCTATTTCTTTAAATACTTAGTAGAGGGTGTTTATTTATATATATATATATATATATATATATATATATATATATATATATATATATATATATATATATGAAGAAGAGGTTATAGTAGTTCCAACGAGAGAAAAGTGTGTATATTAAAAGAAGAGAGAAACCGCAAACGTTTTTGGTTGTAATGTGTGTGTTTTTTGGGGTTTTTTGTTTTGTTTTTAAATATTATGCTTTATTTTCCATAATTTTACTACACGTGTTTCTGGTCTCGCGACCGTCATCGGGTAAAGGGTGGAGATTTCCACATATTAAAAATAATTAAGTTTTTTTTCTCCTTTGTTTTTCGATGTTAAATATTCTCGATATAAGACATTCTCTTTGTGCGTGTGTGTAATCCGATATTTATTTTGTCAAGATCCTTCTGATCCCAATGATGTCTTCGGCATGACTCCTCTCCTCATCAGTGCACTTGTCTCAGAAGGGGAAGCAGGAATTCTGTTTGGGTCTAATCTGAGTCTTGTAATGATAAATATATTAAATTTCTTCTAGAAATGCCTTGAAAATCAAGGTAATTTGGATTGTCAGTGGTCAGGAATGGATAGAAATCTCTACTGACAAAATGAGCTTTAATGTGGGTCACGTAAGAATATTGAAACTGGTACTTCTATATTGTCAAAAAAGAGGAAGAAGTGGATTGTCAAGGGTCAGGAATGAAATCAAATGTTACAAAGAGAATTGGTCCTTCATATTATAATAGAAGCGTATTACTAATGCTTCTACTCTGTAATGCATTGAAAATCATTAAAAAGGTATTGTCGATGGTCAGGAATTAACGTAATGTACATACCTTAAATATATGTTCAACAATGGTTATTCGCATCTCTCGACCACTTTGGAATCTTCATCGGGCGAGGCTGTGATTTGGACCACATCCCATAACCAAATTTTGAATCAGCCACTTGTGGGTTGGTCTTCTCGACCTAATCGAATTCACCAACCAACCCCGAGAGTGGCGACACAGACGAACAATATAAAGCTAAAACACAAGCCAACTGCCTAAACGTTTATTTTATTGCGTATAAGTATTCTGATCAGGTTTTCTGTTTCGTCCCAAAATGTCAGTGAATTTCACTTGAACGCCAACAGTGACCGGCCGAGTTTCCTCTTGGGACATCTTTGCTCTCCTTCACATCGAAATGATTCATTATTCACGTCCACTTTTTTTCTCTCTTTCTTCTTCCTTTCTACCCCAACTGCTTTTTTTTTTCTTTTTTTCTTTTTCTCATCTATTCTTTCGCTTTCAAGTGCTTTGTCTTTCTTCTTCCTTTTGTATTTATCTCTTTCTGGTCTCTTATTTTCATATCTTTCCTTTTCTCTCTGCTCTTGCCATTTGTTCTTTTTCGAATTTTGTTTTTTCCTTTTGTATTTATTCTACGCTTCTTTATTTCTTTCCTATTTTTTCCTATTTCTGTTTCTTCCTCTTTCTCCTTCTCTTTCTGTGTCTCGCTTTCTCTCTCTCCCTCCTGTCTCTCCTTTCTATTCTCTCTGCTCTTTCCATTTCTTTTTCGAATTTTGTTTTTCCTTTTGTATTTATTCTACGCTTCTTTATTTCTTTCCTATTTTTTCTATTTCTTCTTTCTTTTCTGTTTCTTCCTCTTTCTCTCTCTTTGTCTCTCTCTCTCTCTGTCTCTATATCTCTATCTCTCTCTCTCTCTCTCTCTCTATATCTCTCTCTCTCTATATCTCTATCTCTCTCTCTCTCTCTCTCTCTCTCTCTCTCTATATATATATATATATATATATATATATATATATATATATCTGTCTCTTGCCTTCTCTGATTTCTGTTTCCTCTCACACTTTATTATCGGGATTCTTCAATCATTCCCCTCCCCATTTCCTGTTCTCCTTTTATCAATCACACTCCCCCCCCAAATCAAAAGTTTTGTGTCTCTTCATTCTTTTCGATACTCTTCTCTCTGAAACACTTAGGAACCTCTTCTCCCCCCCCATGTACATCATTGCACGTGACCCTGACACTTGACCTTATAAGGTACTCCACTCTCCACTTGCAGTTAAGTTGAACTAGATTTTTTTTTTGTTTTCAGTTTCTCTTCCCTCATCTTTATCTCATTCCTTTGGGATAAACATAAAATAAAAGATAAACTTACTAGTAATTGTCGGCATGGGTGGACCTTCTGTGTTGTTCGAAGGGAAATGGGAGTTATATTGGACACTGGTTTTATTTATTTACTCATTGTATGGCTCCAGACTCGATTAGAACCATTTTGCCGAAGTTTACACATCAATCAGGGTTTGTTGACTTAATTAGGTTTATCTCCTATGTGCCTTGTCTTTCCAGGTCATTGGCGATCTTGGCTCTCCACAACTTCCTATCCGATGTAGCTCTTAATAAAGTTTGTCTTTAACCAAACCTTCTTCTAACCCTGTTCCGTCATTCATTCATGTGTCTTGCTGCTTTCTCTGTCTCTTTTGCCTTCGATATGCCCTGCGCGTGACAAAATCTCCAAGCCCTTTTTCTGCATTATGTATACCAGAAATGTCAGTTGTCTCTGCTGATTCTAACTGTAGCATTTGTGTCCTTTTTCCTTAAAACTTACTCGCTGCTTACACGATCCGTCAATAATATTCTCAGTATCCTTCTGTTGGATCCCATTTTATGTTGCTTCAAGTCTTCATTTAATTGACTAACTGCTTTGGTTTTGCTTGGTTAGATTAGATAAAGCAGTTTTCAACAGCTCTTTCTCCCTTTCTCTTCTCTCTCTCTTTCCTCTTTCTCTTCTCTCTCTCTTTCTCATCTCCCCATTTCCTCTCTCTCTCTCCCCTCTCCTCCCTCCCTCCTCCCCCTCCCTCCTCCTCCCCCTCCCCCCTCCCTCCCCCCCTCCTCCCTCCCTCCTCCCCTCCCTCTCCTCCCCCCTCCCTCCCTCTCCCCCCCCTCCCCCCCTCCTCCCCCTCCCTCCCTCCCCCTCCCTCCTCCCCCTCCCCTCCCCCCTCCCTCCCTCCCCCCCCCCTCTCCCTCCCTCTCCCCTCTCCCTCCCCCCCTCCCTCCTCCCCTCCCTCCCTCCTCCCTCTCCCCTCCCTCCCTCCCCTCCTCCCTCCTCCCCTCTCTTCTTTCTCCCTCCTTTCTCCCTCCCTCTCCCTTTTTCTCCTCCTCTCTCTTCTTTTCCTCCCTCTCTCTCTCTTTCTCTCTCTCTATCTTTGGGAGATAATAATGTTTTCATTATTTATTTATAAAAATCCTATTCCTTAACACATAGCTGGGAGGAGAGAAAAGATGGTTTCATGCCTTTTCCAAGATTATTTGCGTGTAGGTGAATTTAACTTGTACTCTTCTCCTCTTTCTCCGATTCCGAGCCTCTATCCCTTTATACGACACGCACACCTGCTTTCAACGGCGCCTGGTATTCCCAAACGGTCACCCATCTAGGTTCTAACCAGGCTCGACGTTGCTTAACTTCGTCGACCTGACGGTAAGCGGTGTTTTAACGTGATATGACTGTAAGCCCATTTTTGCTTTGGGTGAAAGGATTAAAATTTTTTTTTTTTTTGGTTTGTCAATAATGACAACGGATGCTTCCTGGAACCATTTTTTTGGCACGTTACTTCAGCTTACAACGGACGCTTATCCTGGAACCATATATACCAGGTCCTGAACCATCCTGGCACCTTCTTGGAACCATCCTTGGCACCTTCAGCTTAGGACGCTACCAGGTCCTGGAACCATCCTTGGCACCTTCAGCTTATATATATATAAACCTGACAATTATTCTGAATTATATTTATATATAAATCGTGCAATGTTTGCTCCAGTCTTTTGATAACCACTCGTGTACTAGTGGAAGAAGAGAATCAGACCCTGTCACCACTATGTCAAAAGAAAAGCAGCACAGTAGTGCTGATAATATACCGAACACTTTTTGTCATGAACATGTAGGATTAGTAAATCTTTGTATTTTTCGGATATATTTGTGTGTATTTATAATCTATATAAGATTTGTAGTGGTTTTTTTTTTTTTTGTTTTCGAGAGACTTTGCACATTTCAGCGCCAACTGTGGGAAACCACATTCTGAATAATTGTCACTTGTGGAATCCAAACAGATAAGCTTGAACGTTCCAAGGATAGTTGCAGGACCTGGTGGCAACTGTTGTCACTGACCACTCAGCTACAAAAATAAAAATAAAATATATTTTTGCACAAATATTCTTAGAAAGGTGTGTGTGTATATATATATATATATATATATATATATATATATATATCCACCGAGGATCAAAGAGGATAAGTATTAGAGAAGACCGTGTATTTTAGCCTTGGTTGGAAACCAGTCTATAAGAACAATTCTGAATTCAAAACTTAACGACTGTTTGGAGCTTTCGTGATGCACTGTGCACCAGGTTTTTTTGTCTTGTTTTTGGTGGGGGGGTGTTATCAGTTCTTTCAAAAAGTGTGACAGATTCTGCACTGCCATTGGCACTATAATCAAATCATATGTGTAGGTAGATCTTCGTGCGTTGTAATCGACGGGAAAGTTCTTACATAGAAGAAAATGCATATTTTTAAATGTACAAATTTATATGCTTCTTTCATAAAATAAAATACTACCACATAGGTTTGTCATTCGTAGATATGTAAATCTGTGTGCGTAGAACAAAAACAAATATTCTATTTCTTGAGAAAATCTCAGCCGAAAGAAAAAAAATCTCGTGAATATTTGCACTTTTAAAAATGCAACAGGAAAACGCTTCAAGTGTTTGCTCACCAAGGTAAGGAAAATGTTTAAACGGAACAAATTCTGTGATGTTTATTTTTGTTGCTCAAAGAATTGCAGAAAATAAGGCATTTATTTTTTAAGTTGTTTGGTGAAATGGATGTTGAGAGGTGATAGAATCGATCCGGATGGGGAGTGGTAGAAGGAAGGAAATCGAAAAGGAAAGCGAAAGAGAGAGACTAGGTGCGATGGAAAAAAATAAAATTAGGGAGGAAAGAGCGAGGCATGAGGGAGAAAAAAAAAACGAAATATAGGGAGGAAAGAGAGGGGCGAAGCTCAGTAAAGGAAAGAAAGAAACGAAAGTGTGAAAAGGGAAGGAAGGACCCAAGAAAAAGAGGGGGGAAAGCACTGATTAAAAATGTCGAAATTTATGCAAAAAGTCAAGGAGGGCTATATTATATATATAATCCTGTTTGACATATATAATCCTCTTTGACTTGTGTGTGTATATATATATATATATATAATCCTCTTTGACTTGTGTGTGTGTGTGTGTGTGTATATATAAAAATCCTCTTTGACTTGTGTGTGTGTATATATATATATATATATATATATAAAAACTCTTTGACTTGTGTGTGTATATATATATATATATAAATCCTTTTGACTTATATATATATATATATATATATAAACCTCTTTGACTTATATATATATAAACCTCTTTTGACTTATATATATAAAACTCTTTTGACTTATATATATATAAACCTACTTATATATATATAAAACCCTTTGACTTATATATATATATAAACCTTTTTGACTTATATATATATATAAACCTTTTGACTTATATATATATATAAACCTCTTTGACTTATATATATATATAAACCTCTTTGACTTATATATATATATAAACCCTCTTTGACTTATATATATATATATATATATATATATAAAACCTTTTTTTTTTTTTTTTTTTTTTTTTAAGCATTTCACCCCAAGCAAGGGGGAGCCACTATAATAGGAAGATCAGATAGGATGATAGAAGAAAGGATGAGGTAGTAGATAGATTAAGGCAACTGGAGATGTCGATTGACATTACACTTGAATAGCTGGATTATAACTCTCAGGGAAACAGGAGAAGGGAAGAGAGTTCCACAGGCAGAGGTGCGAGACATGAAGCTATTAGAGTAGTAGAGACGGCTACATTTATGAGTTTCGACAGTGAATATAGAGTGGATGCCAGCCTCGTAGGGCGCTTGAACTCATGAGGTTTGGGAACCAGCGAATGCAGTTCCTCGGAGCAATTTCCATGAAAGTATTTGTAGAACAGACAGAGGGAGGCGACGGTGCGTCTGTGAGAAAGTGACTGTACGAGACGCCAGGGGTATAAAAAACCTTTGACTTATATATATATATAAAACCTCTTTGACTTATATATATATATATAAACCTCTTTGACTTATATATATATATATATATATATATATATATATATATATATATATATATATATATAAATATCTTTTGACTTATATATATATATATATATAAACCTCTTTGACTTATATATATATATATATAAAACCTCTTTGACTTATATATATATATATATATATATAAAATATATATATATATATAAACCTCTTTGACTTATATATATATATAAACCTCTTTGACTTATATATATATATATATATATATATATATATATAAACCTCTTTGACTTATATATATATATATAAACCTCTTTGACTTATATATATATATATAAACCTTTTTGACTTATATATATATATATAAAAACCTCTTTGACTTATATATATATATAAACCTAAACTTATATATATATATATAAACCTCTTTGACTTATATATATATATAAACCTTATATATATTTGAACTTATATATATATATATAAACCCTTTGACTTATATATATATATATACCTCCTTTGACTTATATATATATATATAAAACCTCTTTGACTTATATATATATATATATAAACCTTTTTGACTTATATATATATATATATAAACCTCTTTGACTTATATATATATATAAAAACCTCTTTTGACTTATATATATATATATAAACCTCTTTGACTTATATATATATATATAAACCTACTTATATATATATATATAAACCTTTGACTTATATATATATATATAAACCTCTTTGACTTATATATATATATATATAAACCTCTTTGACTTATATATATATATATATAAAACTTATATATATATATATAAACCTCTTTTGATTATATATATATATATAAACCTTCTTTGATTATATATATATATAAACCTCTTTGACTTATATATATATATATATATAAAATATATATTTGACTTATATATATATATATATATATAAAAAACCTCTTTGACTTATATATATATATATATATATATAAACCTCTTTTGACTTATATATATATATATATATATATAAAAACCTCTTTGACTTATATATATATATATATATATAAAACCTCTTTGACTTATATATATATATATATATATATAAACCTCTTTGACTTATATATATATATATATATAAACCTCTTTGACTTATATATATATATATATATATATATATATATATATACACACCCACACACAGAAACTACGAAATTTGTTTAGGTCTAGATACGCTTCGTGCAGATACGAACGTTAGAGGGAAATTTGTAGTTTAAAAGTAGTAAAATCGACTTTGTTAACTAGACGCCCCTCGTAGCTAAACTGGTATTGCACGTCAGGCTATATGACGGTTCCGTTTAGGATACAGGTTCGATTCCTGTTAGAGGACACATATTTTCTATGAAAATGTCTCGGGTAAATGTTGTTAATACTCTTTATTATAAACAGAACATTTATGCATTAATAAAAATAACGTACAAACAGAAAATATATTAATTATCGGACTTTGTCCATTTCGTAGTCTGTGACGTCATTTGTTTACGTTTCGGTCAAAAATGAATCTTCGAAGAAAATCATGGAATATTCTAGTTTAAAAACAGTAAAATCGACCTTTCTAACCAAACGCTCCTCTGTAGCTAAACTGGTATAACACATCAGTCTATATGATGGTTACGTGTAGGGTGCAGGTTCGATTCCTTTCGGAGCATACATATTTTCTATGAAAATTTCTCGGACGTATAGGGTGGTAAATGTTAATACTGTTTATTATAAAACAGAGCATTTACTTGAATATTTGTGTCTACATAAATAACGTATAACAATAAAATATATTCAAATATACATATGTGCCTGTATATTTAGGTAGCATATTTTCATTCAAACAGGTTTAGTGAAATATCATGTCGATTTATTTTGGTTGTGATCCTTTCAAGCTCACGAATTAATTTCTTGATCGCTTTAGAAAATTGATTAAAAATACCAAAACTTTCTTTCAAATAATCTTTGTTTTCCCAAGTACCTTTCAATCTCATCTGAAACCATCTTCAGGATGGTTAAATTATCTGTGAATGTGTATATGTATATGTATTTCTGTAAATCCCAAACATTTCAACTGTTCGTTTTACTTTGTTATGCGGCGTTGTAGATTTCAAAATATAAAATTCACGTGTTTCCCGTCCACACACACACATACCGTATAAGTGAGGTAACTTTTTTTCATTTTATTTTAGAAAAAACTTGGGGGTGGGGAAATAATTTTAAAGAAAATTTTTGTTATTTTTCTTAATCAAATTTCTAAGTCTACGAAGAAATTAATTCATGAGCTTGAAAGGATCACAACCAAA